TCAACATCATTGATGTTGACATGTTGATTCGGATTCAGATAGTTCTGTCTGCTCGTCGTATTGATGTTGACGTGTTGATTCGGATTCAGATAGTTCTGTCTGCTCGTCGTATATTTGCCATCATCAAAGACAGACGAGAAGTCCGATCTTCGCCGGTAAGTTGTTGTCCGCTCGAGCTGCCTGCAACGCCGAACACTTGGCCCGCTGCGAAGTGTAAGAAGATCAAACTAAACAGAGGTACTACATGAAACTGTCATTTTTTATGGGTTTCGGAACTGGTTCGCCAGGCTTTATCTGCGCGAACGCGCCCCGGGGAGATAAGAGCAAATTGTCGCAGCTGATTGGCAACCAAACACGCCACGTAGGCCTGTCGACCTCCGGGCACGAACGTTAATGTACCGACGAGCCTCCTGCGTGCCCCTCATAAGGACTCGCGAGGAAAGACTCGATGTCGCGAGATGAAGAAATGCGGACGCGCGCAATACGACCGAATTCATATGCACAATGTCTGGAGGTGGTGCCCTGCCCCCCTGCCCCCCTGCTCGAACGATTTGCAACGGGGGTATGCCGGGGTTCCGTCCCATACATGCTATAGGTCTACATGCGGCGAAAGGCAGACACAGCCGCGTGAGACACAAACACGTGCATCAGCCGCAGTAGTTGGGAATGTGTGTAATGGGGTGTAGCCGTGGACCCCGTTGAACGCTACGTGTAGGTCACAGCAGTTCTGTTGTGGGCTGGGTAACACCACCCGCAGGGTTTGCTTGATTGCCCATACACGTATCTAGTTTGCTTGATCCCCCACAGGTCCCGGGGGGGGGGGGGGGGGGAGACCTATCACTCGGTTGTTCCTTACTTGCATCAAGTCGTAGTTTGCTTGGTCCTAAGTATGCTGTCATCAAGAACACGCCTTCGACGGAGAAAAAGGCCACTAGCAGTTGAAACTTGTGGAAGATGGCAGATGGCACACACCAGTAATTATCTAGTCAATGCCCACTAACGCCCCGCCGCTTTCGTTTGGCTCAGCTCGCTAGCAGAGCGGACATTGACAAGGGAAAGACCGAGCGGGAGTCCCGGAAGGTGTCGTACAAAAGCTCCGCTTTTCACCTTATCCTGCCATTTATGGCGTACTTTAAGGATCTACGCCTGACGGAAATCAAGTGCGACGAACACAGCCTGCTGACGATGGTGGGGCACATGTGGGGTGCATATGACGAAGAGCGAGGAATTTCATGTGCAGAAATGGACAGTGAGTTATTGCATTTTCGGCCGTGATTCCGGCCCCTTGTGAATCTCGCACATGTGTGTCGCCGCCTCCTGGAGTTGTTCCCCCTCACTCTCGAGATTTTGAATTACGCGCATCAACACCGCTCATCCCCCTTGTCCTCCCACCCACCCCCTCCTATATGGTGTTTGGACACGTTGAATACAGAGGAAGTCCCCGTTTTCCTGCCGCCGATGAAGTGCACCACGTACCGTGTAGCGCGCGAGGCAATGCACACCAACCTGGTGTCCGCTCTCCAGGTGGTCACCAACAGGTACACGGACGGTAACGGCAACGCGCGGAAGGAAATCACGTCCGACTACATCCTAGAGACGATGCAGGCTGAGATCGATAAGCAGGTGAGGTGCACGGATGCAGTCCGGCCGTTTTAAGCCATGCAGGTTTTCGTTGGGTGTCTGGCGCGAGAAACGCGAGAAATCGCCAACGCAATTTGGGATCTGGGATCTGGCTCCTCGCCCCGGGTTCTTGTGCGTGGCGTTGCTTGCTGTGTTGTTGGGCGGTTGCGTGTCGGCGTGGTGCCGTAGCTGTCGGTGTCGTGCCCCTGTTCACGTTTTGTACCCCCTGCCTTACCCCCACCCCACCCCCAAATGATATTGCGGCTCGGAGTGCAAAGACCTAGTTAAATGGTTGCGGAATGTTAAATGGTTGGGGAATGTCCGTCGTACAAGGAGAGAGAAGTGTACATGACTGGCCTGGGAAAATGAAAGTAAGGTACAGGAAGATGTTCGAGGTATGGAATAACCGAGACAAGACGGTAGCTGTACTGGGGCATAGCAAGTGGGTAGAATAGGCGGGGGGTGATATCGACAGGACAGATAGAACGGGGGGCATGTTTGAGCCACCTTTGGCAATGTAGGAAGGAACGATTGGCCATCTGTAATCGTATTTTCCGTCCTCTCGACGACGCGTGGTCAGTGCCCTAACGACTAAAGGCATGCAAAACGTAAAGAGTACGCCCCCCCCCCTCCTCTCCCCCCAACTCGCCGGAGAGCTGTGAAGATTATGTTGTAGCCCCGGTGGAGTTTGTCTAATCGAATACGCACCCCTCCGCCTCTCTGTATTTCTGTCTGCGATATGCGTTTTTTGTTGTAATGCCCCCAGGGTTTGCTTTCTATCTGATGTGTCATGAGTATTATTTTCTTCGGCGTGTGTTTCAGAGTCGACGCGTCCAGCGTACTACATGCGGGTGTGCTTTTTGCATGAGTGCGTCTGGTGTAGTGAAGGTAGTGAGTGGCGTGTCGTCATTGCTGGGTGTGTCGATGAATTGGTCTGGCTCGGTCTCACAAAACGAACATGACGCGAACCATGAGGCCCCAGACTGTAAAAGTGCGGCGTCTACGCGCACGATATCGGCCAAAACGCTTAACCCAACGACCGGCCGATGCACCCCGCATTGCTCGCTTGTTCATCGTCTTTGTTCGGGAGACCCCCTTGCGCTGTCCTTCCTGACCTCCTCCGGAATGTTTGCTCGTAGTTTGTACCCTAACTGCGGGAAAACTGTACAATTGTAGCGTGAATTTCAACTTTTGTCACAATAAACACCTATCATGACTTCTCACGAGTGTTGCCTCTCACCCAGTTGGTATTCCCTGCGCCCCCGCCCCCCCACCCCCTGCGTCATTCTAGTCGGAGCTGGCCATGCGCGGTTTAGGGCGGGCTATGTTCTCCAAGGGTCTGCCTCCAGCCAGGCATAGCAGGCCCGCGGGTCCGGGCGAGATCATGGAGAACATGACCTACATGGACGTATACGGGTGCCAACCCACCGCACCCTATCACCTCCCCTTTGCAGACACCAGGGAAAAGTCACCCCTGGCGTTAAAAACTTGATATATCCCGGAACCGCGGCGCCCTGTAGTCTGGAAACATAGGGTGGCGCTTGTAAGATCATCTTTCCGCGGAGAACAGAAGGGGTCTGCTCCTGTGCCTGCTGTGAGGATCGTGCGTAAATGGTCGATCAAACAGTCTGAGGCCCTCTCTCGTTTTGATGATGAAGGCTCCAAACGGTCCGCGTAAGGAGTGGCGAGTCGACCGCACGCTTAGAGGCAAAGGAAGAGTAAGAAGTATGCAGAACCGGAGTGTTTGGTTGTAGTCCGGTGTAAAGCATTGTTGGCGCACACGCTGCTGCTCCTGCTGTTGGTATGAAAATGTCGCGCGCACACACGGCCGCCTTGTAGCTATCACGCAGAGCAGCTCGGGTGGGTAACCCGACTTTTCATAACGCAAGTTCCCGACGAACAGCCTTTCACCGGTAACCCTGGGTTGCTCGCCCTGCGAGCCTTCTTCTCAGACGTCGGGACGATGAGATATTGGTCGTTCCCCGTGCTACGGAACATTTGAAAGCTATGGTAGTCCTCCTTCGCTCTGTCACCCTTTCCAGGTGTATCCCTAATTTTTGCGCCTTTCTAGCTCAGCAACGACTCCCACCCCCTCATGGCGTGAACTGAACTGATTGTTTCGCAGATAATCGGGCCGGTCCTTGCCGCGACTATCGAGGAGGCGGCGCCGGTCCTCCTGAGCGATGTAATCGCAGCGAGGAGGCGCGCTCGTATGCCCCCCTCGACCAAGTGGGACCCCGTGGGCTACCGCACCTTCCCGGTGATCAAGAAGTTCTTGGACAACGCCCTGGGAGGAGCAAAGGAGGGAGGCGGAGACAAGAACCACCCGGTCATCCGCGAGATGTACGTTGCGCTTGGCTCGCTATGTTAACAAGGCTGACGTATTCTTGTAGTCCAGCCCTGTTGTCCGTGGCGTCCGCTGAGTAGGTTTGTCGCCCACATAGCGCTCAATACACACGCAACTCTGCCATCATACAACGCACTTCGTTGTTTTTGTTCCCGGCGATTTTCCCGGTTAGCGTTATATATTGCGGCAGCTCCACTGTGCCCTGCCTTCGACTCCACCCGAAGGTGGTTAGCGCAAGCCTTACAAGAGAGGAATGTACCGCGGCATGTTTAGCCGTTCCACCAGCTGCCATGCGAACGAAACGTTCTTTGTTGTTTGTATCGTGTCTTAGGTTTTGGGAGAGGTTCATGGAATTCGGCGAAGAGTACCTTGGGCCGATCCCCGACAAGGACGACTTGAAGTGCACGGAGGACGCGAAGCGCTACCTCAAGCCCTACCTCTTCAAGAAGGACGACGGCAAGGACGACGACAAGGACGACGACGAGCAAGAAGAGGGAGGGGCGGACCGTGGTGGAGATGGGGACGGAGGGAAGGACCGTGATGGAGATGGGGATGGAGATGGGGGCGGAGGTACGGACCGTGATGGAGATGGGGATGGGGATGAGGATGGGGATGGGGGCGGACGAACGGGCCGTGATGGAGATGGGGATGGAGATGGGGGCAGCGACGATGGCTCCGATGGCTCTATGGACGCTTAAGCCGCGTTGACAAGGTGGGCGTTTGGCCTGGTGCGTGGCTTGTCCTTCTAGAACTTTCGTGCCTCCCTATTTTTTCTTCTTTCTTCCCCTGCCCGCGAGATGTAAAATGTCTGGGTGCTTTTCGTCGTATGTTTCGTCCAGAACCCGCGGCTCCCCTCGACATGTGTTTCATCAGCGAGTCGGTTCGCCGCTAGACTGCTGATATTTGAATACACCTCGCCTCCCATTAGATTTAGTTCTGCTGAGTTGCGTAGCATACCCTCTTGTCTCCGACGTATTCTACGACCTGCGTCACCTGTACTTCACCCCGTTAAGTAGTGTTTTTTGGTCGTTTGTCCCGCTATGCCTCCCGGCATTCCAAAAGTGGCACCAGGTACAGTTGTCTGGAGTACAACAGAGTCAGTTTTTTTAAGTTTATAGTTACATAGTGCACCCAAGGGTGGAAGCGTGCACTCCATTGCTCGACTGCCCATGTTTACTCTACTCTGATGTTTTCTTCGCATGTTCTTTCACTGCTGACCGACACCCCCCAGGCGCAGTCGCCGGAATCTCCACTTCAACGTCGTTCGACGCGTTTTCCCGGGTCCTCTCTTCCACGGCGGGCCGCAGTGTTGCAGGGGGAGGCGGAATAGATTATCCCCCGCTTTCAATGGCTGATGTTTGCGTTTGGATGAAGAATGCTGCGAAGTGCTTAGTGCTCTCGGGTAGGGTTTTTTGACGTGTTTGCAAGCGCGTTTGGAATTTGTCGCTGCGGCGGCCTCTCCAGTCGTTGCCGTCATGCTTCTCTCTTGTCCTCGCGTGGAAGGCCATCTTGAAGGTGTTTTCCTGTGGTGTTGGGAGGGTAGAGACGTCTCTCTTTGCAGTCCCTGCAGTTTGACTTTATTTTGTCCTCGGGAAGCGACGTTTTTCCGTGTATAGAACTGTGACTTCGGGGGCGGCCCGCTGTCGCTACGTGTAGCTGTTGTCTCTGGCTTCGTCGTTTATCCGTCTTCCTAAATCAATGGTATTGCTTTCCTGCGGATTATCTCCATGATCGACGGCGGTGGGTGGTGCAGGCGGGAAGTTCAACAAGGACGGGAACCATATTATGAATACTGCTGGGGCTTTCGGGGCGGCGGGGGGGGGGGATGCTTTGTTTAGCGCTGAGAGAAGGCAGTCGTTTTCTACGAGTGCATTACGGATCTTCTCCATGATCGACGTCGCTGGTTGAAGTTCAAAAAAGGAAACCATGCTTGGGTATGTGTTGGGTTTTATGAATTCTTGCTCCTCGCTTTTTGTTCGTGCAAGTCGAGAGTTGTCGACAACGGGCTCGAGATGATGAGCCGCGGTAGTACTGTTTCGATACCCGCATCGAAAAAAGACTGGAAAAAAAGGGAGGAAAGCAGAAAAGGCCATGAAGGGATATTGAACCCACGTTGTTACGGAGCAGCAATGATCTGTTTGGATACCCGCATCGAAATAATTCTGGAAAAAAAAGGGAGGGGAAAAAAAAGGTCATGAGGGGGGTATTGAACCAACGTTGTTGTTGCTGAGCAGCAATGCTGCTGTTGCCTCCGAAATCCTAGGCAACCGGCTTGTACACTGCAGTGCGCCAACCTCCACAAAAGGCACGTCTTGCACCAGCAACGGCAACATGTCCGCGTACCAGGTTGCAGACAGTGCCCCAACCTCCACAAAAAGGTTCACCTTGCACCAGCATCGGCAACCTGGCAGCGTACCAGGTTGTAGACAGTCCGCCAACCTCGAAAAAAAGCACACCTTGCACCAGCATCGGCAACCTGTCCGCGTACAATGTTGTAGACAGTCCGCCAACCTCCAAAAAAGGCACACCTTGCGTACCATCCCCAACCTACCCACCAACCGGCTTGTAGACAGTCCGCCAACCTTCACAAAAAGTACACCTTGCAACAGCATCGGCAACCTATCCGCGTACAAGGTTTTAGACAGTCCGCCAACCTCCAAAAAAGGCACACCTTGCGCATCATCCCCAACCTACCCACCAACCGCCTTGTAGACTACGCCCCAACCTCCAAGAAAAGTCCAGGTTGCCAAACCTGGCCACCTCATCGTTGCAAGAATTACCCAAGATCAGCAGGTTGCGATCGGTGCCCAATGTTTTTTTCGAGATTGACCAATGTGCCTCTACAAGGCGGTACTTTGGCCCCCTGTGTTTGCTCCGACACTCCACCGGCTACAGCAGCTGGTACTAGCATCTTCAATGCTCATTGGACTCGGTCATATCGTGCGTTTTACCCTTGATCACTGTGTGTTGTCCATATTCCACCGCATTTGACCTCCAGTATATGGTCCCAAGGTGAGAGCTACGATCAGGTCTGACCAACCATGATCATCAACAACCAGGCACACATCTGACCTATACCCTAGTCGCACGACTTGTCACATGGTGTCCTATCCGTGAGCACGCGCTCGGGTGCGCGTGTGGGTAACTGTGCTGGCTGGTGCCCTTACCTTTTCCCAGATTCCTTCTGGCAAAAATAAGATTCCTGTTGTCAACTGAGCAACAGTTTCCTTTGCCAGCTTGCATGATTGTACGTATGTGTGCACTCTTGCACGAGCGCGACGTGCTGCTCTTCGTCTAACCAAGCACCCGCCTGTGAGTGTACACTGCTTTTGCCAGTGTACGTTTAGGCCATACCCTTGATTTTGGCGGGCTGGCATACATACATGGAGCATCACCATTTGGTTGCTTCCATGTACTTTCATTTGCACGCATTGATTACGCATCACCGGGGTGCTAGTTCCCGGGATGCCTGCTCGTGATTATGATTCGGCCCCAGATGAATGCTTGCTCCGTTGGGACACGTACGTTGAAACGGCCACAGGTGGGATGTACTCGAACACACACACTGCTTGGTACCCTCCTTCCCTTCCGTTGCCGCCGAAATCGAAGCCGAAAAATGATGAATGTGCAAAACGATGCTTGAGCGTGATCGCATGGCGGGAAGTAGTGTGGACCAGCAGTTAGTTGTGTTGTGCATCGGAGTCTCCCAGGCCAGGTGTTCCCCGTCTGCCCTCGAGTCCGTGCGCCGTGCGTCTGCTGCCCGTTGCGCGTACACTGACACCCTTGTTTTCGCGTGTTTATCATGGGCGTTGCTTTCCTCTACTCTTACCTTTGATTGTATCGCCTCGTTTTATTCGTGCACCATCACGTTTGTTTATGCGTTGCAGTTTTCTCCTTTTGCGACGCTCGTTAGCGCGCTGTGTTTGCTCCTGCTTGCCTCACCTTTCATGCATTGCAAGTTCCGATGTGTTGTTGGGCACCACTTGTTAGCGCGTTGTTTTTTTGTTTGTTTTTTCTCTTCTTGCCCTACGTTTCGTGTGTGGCAACTTTCTCTCTTCGGCGTGGCACCCCTTGGGCCTTGCTGTTTTCCCTTGTTGTGGCACTCTACATGATTATGGATGTGCTCGGAAGTCTATTGCGGGTCA